ATTTAGTTGTTGGAATTAAGTTAAAACTAAACTAGTTAAAGTTTAAAAGTTGTTTAAATTTGTTAAAATAAATAATGTCGTTTAGTTGGTGGACATAGTTGTTGGAATTAAGTCAAAACTAAACTAGTTAAAGTTGTTAAGTTGTTTAAATAAGTTAAAATAAATAATGTCGTTTAGTTAGTGGATTTAGTTTTTGGAATTAGGTCAAAACTAAACTAGTTAAAGTTAAAAAGTTCTTAAGTTGTTTAAATAAGTTAAAATAAATAATGTGGTTTAGTTGGTGGGTTTTGTTATTGGAATTAAGTCAAAACTAAATAGTGAAAGTTGTTAAGTTGTTTAAATAAGTTAAGATAAATAATGTGGGTTAGTTAGTGAATTTAGTTGTTGGAATTAAGTCAAAACTAAACTAGTTAAAGTTGTTAAGTTGTTTAAATAAGTTAAAATAAATAATGTGGGTTAGTTAGTGAATTTAGTTGTTGGAATTAAGTCAAAACTAAACTAGTTAAAGTTGTTAAGTTGTTTAAATAAGTTAAAATAAATAATGTTGGTTTAGTTAGTGAATTTAGTTGTTGGAATTAAGTCAAAACTAAACTAGGTAAAGTTTTTTAGTTGTTAAGTTGTTTAAATGAGTTAAAATAAATAATGTGGGTTAGTTAGTGAATTTAGTTGTTGGAATTAAGTCAAAACTAATGTAGTTAAAGTTAATGTTGTTAAGTTGTTTAAACAAGTTAAAATAAATATTGTGGTTTAGTTGGTGGATTTAGTTATTGGAATTAAGTCAAAACTAAACTAGTTAAAGTTGTTAAATTGTTTAAATAAGTTAAAATAAATAATGTGGGTTAGTTAGTGAATTTAGTTGTTGGAATTAAGTCAAAACTAAACTAGTTAAAGTTGTTAAGTTGTTTAAATAAGTTAAAATAAATAATGTGGGTTAGTTAGTGAATTTAGTTGTTGGAATTAAGTCAAAACTAAACTAGTTAAAGTTGTTAAGTTGTTTAAATAAGTTAAAATAAATAATGTGGGTTAGTTAGTGAATTTAGTTGTTGGAATTAAGTCAAAACTAAACTAGTTAAAGTTAAAAAGTTGTTAAGTTGTTTAAATAAGTTGAAATAAATAATGAGGTTTAGTTAGTGAATTTAGTTGTTGGAATTAAGTCAAAACTAAACTAGGTAAAGTTCAAAAGTTGTTATGTTGTTTAAATAAGTTAGATTAAATAATATCGTTTAGTTAGTGGATTTAGTTGTTGGATTTAAGTCAAAACTAAACAAGTTAAAGTTGTTAAATAGTTTAAATAAGTTAAAATAAATAATGTCGGTTTAGTTAGTGAAATGTTGGTGGATTTAGTTGTTGGAATTCAGTCAAACTAAATTAGTTAAAGTTAAAAAGTTGTTAAGGTGTTTAAATAAGTTTAAAAGAATAATGTTGTTAGTTGGTGGATTTAGTAGTTGGAATTAAGTCAAAACTAAACTAGTTAAAGTTAAAAAGTTAGTTAAGTTGTTTAAATAAGTTAAAATAAATAATGTGGTTTAGTTAGTGAATTTAGTTGTTGGAATTAAGTCAAACTAAATTAGTCAAAGTTAAAAGTTGTTAAGGTGTTTAAATAAGTTTAAAAGAATAATGTTGTTAGTTGGTGGATTTAGTAGTTGGAATTAAGTCAAAACTAGTTAAAGTTAAAAAGTTGTTAAGTTGTTTAAATAAGTTAAAATAAATAATGTGGTTTAGTTAGTGAATTTAGTTGTTGGAATTAAGTCAAAACTAAACTAGTGAAAGTTGTTATGTTGTTTAAATAAGTTAAGATAAATAATGTGGTTATGTTGGTGGATTTAGTTGTTGGAATTAAGTCAAACTAAATTAGTCAAAGTTAAAAGTTGTTAAGGTGTTTAAATAAGTTTAAAAGAATAATGTTGTTAGTTGGTGGATTTAGTAGTTGGAATTAAGTCAAAACTAAACTAGTGAAAGTTGTTATGTTGTTTAAATAAGTTAAGATAAATAATGGGGTTATGTTGGTGGATTTAGTTGTTGGAATTAAGTCAAACTAAATTAGTCAAAGTTAAAAAGTTGTTAAGGTGTTTAAATAAGTTTAAAAGAATAATGTTGTTTAGTTGGTGGATTTAGTAGTTGGAATTAAGTCAAAACTAAACTAGTTAAAGTTAAAAAGTTGTTAAGTTGTTTAAATAAGTTAAAATAAATAATGTCGTTTAGTTGGTGGATTTAGTTGTTGGAATTAAGTACAAAACTATACTAGTTAAAGTTAAAAAGTTGTTACGTTGTTTAAATAAATTAAAATAAAATATGTCAAAACTAGTTAGACTTAGAAAGTTGTTAAGTTGTTTAAATAAGTTCAAATGTTATTTAGCTGTTGGAATTAAAATTATCATTATTGTTTGTGTAGATGGATCCTGATCGTAGTTGGATGTATAATAGAAACAATCCTGGTCGAGCGGGTATGAATCCAGAATTCGCAGAAGGTGTCACTAGATTTATAAATCATGCAAAGACACTTGATGATTTTTAACTTCAAGATTGATTAGGTGTCCGTGTGTATATTGTGAAAATGTGAGATATCATACAACAGAGACTGTTGTTATGCTATGCATCTTATGATGAATGGATTCAAACCAGGGTTTACAGTTTGGACTAGTCATGTTGAGGTTGAAAGTGACACTATATTTGTAGAGTTCTTTGTTTAAATTACAGGATAGGTATATACGAATATCTCAGGAATATCGTAGTACTCTACCTCTTGAGAATCAGGACAGACCATTTACACAAGAAGAAAACGAGAATCTTTGGAAACAGAGTGCTAGTGAACCGATTAGAGGTTCAGTCTACGGCTATCCAGAAAAGGCGTATCAGAAGAAGAAGTCTTGGTATTGTGGTTCATCATCCTCAAGCTTTGATGGCGGGTATAGAGAGACAATATTCACAATGGAGAGTACGGTAGCTTATCTCAATGCCGAGCTTGCTAGTGTAGCCAAAAGAGAGAAGAAAGAGTGAGGAAGAGAGAGGAGGAGATTGCGGCAGCAAAGGAGGTAGAGAACAAGAGGTATGCAGCGCTTCAGGCCCAACTAACTTTTCTTTTTGAATCAGGAAATATTCTTCCTCCATGTCCGTCCAACAGTGCTGGATCTGATCAGGAGGGTGATGAGAATGATAAGTCTGATAAGGAGAGTGAGAATTGGTAAGTCTGATAAGGAGAGTGAGGGTGATGATGAGTAGTTGTATCTATTTGACATTTTAGACTTCTATATTTTTGGAATTGTTTGATCGTATTTTAGTTTATTTTGAAGTTGGATGAATTTTATTTTGAAATAGTTTAATGTATATGTTGAAAATATTGTGTTGTTTTGGTTGGATGAAGTTTATTTTGAATTCTTTTGGTTGTTTCGGTATAAATATGCAGGTGGGCAACTAAAAGCAGAAAACCGACCTCTGGAGGTCAGAATTTCAAATATAAAAAAATAAAAATACTAACCTCCGGAGGTCAGAATTTCAAAAATAAAAAAATAAATACCGACCTCCGAATGTCAGAATCTCAAAAATACAAAAATAAAAAATAAAAAAATTAACAAATACCAATATCCGGATGTCGGTATTCCAAAATAATAAATATTCTGACCTTAGGAAATTGCAAATAATAAAAAATAAAATAAACAAATATATAAAGCTGACCTCAGGAAGTCAGAAAATAAAATAATGAATTTTCCGACTTAAAATAAAAACTGACCACGAGAGGTTAGTAAATACCGACCTCCAGAGGTCGGTATTGAATAGCGACCAAGCTTTTTCCGACCTAAGCTGGGATGTCGGTATTAGGTCGGTATTTCAGGGAATACCGACCTCCGATACTATTACTCACAATACCCCATACTTCATTCACTACTTCAGTAGTTACTTATTTGATCTCTCATCCTCTTAAAGAAATTAACTTGAGTTCATATTTAACTTTATACACACAATCACACTCAATACCAATATGGTTAGTGCAATAGCCGGCTTGTGTATAAGTTTATTATTCATTTAATTGTCTTTCCTTTCTACTCGAATCTATCTGCTCCTATTCAACTGCTTTCCTAGACATGCACTGCATTGCTGAATCATTCATGGCTATTAGTAACATGCTAAAGTAGCAACATCGATTGAAACTTCAAGAAACAACAACAGGTCAAATGGTATTCATTAAAAAGTCATTTTAACTTTTCTGAGTCTCACACAATGAAGAAGCAGGGAATATTCTTTCATTGACCCATTGATCACTTGACACATGTGTTACGACGTTTTCACCTTATACTGGTGTATGTCTCTTATCCTTCCGATTATCCAACATCGTACAGACCTCAATCTAAACACCTCAAGATGTTTAACCCTAGTTTCTCTTTTTCAGTAATCCTTAAACTCATTTTCTTAGAGAAACATTTGCCTGGCTCATAAAACAAGTCATAATATGGTGGTGAAACTCATCTCTTCACGTTCCTCGACATAAGAGGTGATTGCTCGTGTGAGAGAGCCAATCTTGCGACTTGTTCGACACACTTTATTTATTATAAAATATCACATGCATACTACATTTGAACATAAATTCAATAGTTTTATATAGAAGAGAATATTACAACAATCAAGTCATTTTACAATACTGAAATATCATCATACTCTACGTAAAACTAGAGCTTTAACATGTTTTTCAAACAAGTCTCTAGAGATGGCCTTCGTAAAAGGATAAACTATCATTTCACGTGTAGGAATGTATTGCAAAGTTATTTCTCCACTTGCCACTACGTCTCTCACAAAGTTATACTTGATGTCGATGTGTTTGGTTTTGTTGTGATACTTAGGATCCTTTGTGTACGCGATAGCCGCTTGACTATCACAATATAGAATCATGGGACCCTTAGAATCCTTTGCAATACTCAAATGCTCAAAGAATCTCTTTAACCAAACAACTTCTTGTAGTGCAGACGCACAAGCCACAAATTCAGATTCCATGGTTCAAAGAGTTGTGCAAATTTGCTTCTTACTTTTCCATGAATAACACCACCATTTAGTAAGAAAGCATAACCGGATGTTGATTTTCTATCATCCCAGTCACCAGCCCAATCAGCATCTGTATAACCTCTTATGAATATATCAGATCCACTATAACACAGTGTATGATCTGCAGTTCCCTTCAGGTATCGGAATATTCTTTTTACTGCTTTCTAATTATCTCTTCCAGGATTGGATTGATACCTGCTAACTAGACTCACGGCATAACAAATGTCTGGGCGAGTACACATCATAACATACATCAAACTCTCGACATCACTAGAATAAGGAACTCGAGACATGTATTCCTTTTCTTTTTCAGTCTTTAGACACATTTCAAGGCAGAGCACCCAATGTACAAATGATCTGATTGGTCTCTTTTATTGTTGTTGAGCCCTACTTCGAATCTCATTGTTATCATGTCTTTTTTATATTCTTCCTTCCGCCATTTTCAGAGCACCCACAACCTTAAAATCCAAGATCAGCCACTGGTTAGTAGGTAGCCTAGTGTAGTCACCCATTAAGTGGGAGAGGCAAGAGACTAGCCCCATAAAGTACTATATCTCTTGAGATAAACTCAAAATTTTCTGGGAACGATCTCTTTGGATCTTAACACCCAATATATAGTCTGCTTCACCCATATCTTTCGTATCAAACGATTTTGAAAGTCATGACTTGACAGTTTTTACATACTCCAAATTATTTTCAGCTAATAAAATATCATCTTAATTATGTAAAACAAATTAAGATTATATATATATATATATATATATATATATATA